CCCCCCCCCATTATACACCTATGGCATTGAGATATATACAAAATGGGTACCTTTAAATTATATTATTTTATCTAGGTACAACCGTGATCAATACGTGGCTATAAAAGAGGGAATGTGAATACTCCGATACACTATCTAGGTATACTATCTATATTAAACATTATATCATTTTAYATATTATACATTTTAATACTCAGGTAGTCAGGTCTCATTTTCACGGTGATATACGCTGTTATGCCTTACGCTTCGCTGTCCACAACTGTAGACATCTTCAATTGTAGAATATAGGAATAATAATAAAAATGTTAATAAAGATATAATAATAATAAAGATTGAACAATAATTATTTTAATATTTTTCTTTAAATAAATATTGTCAAGAGTCAACACTCAACAGTTACGTATTTGGCTCCTCAGAGAATGGCGAGGTGTGCTTTTGCCCTAATCTTATTTTTAAAACAACTCAATCCAGTGGCGTATCCGGAATTTCTACAAGGGGGAGGGGGCAAAAAATTTAATAAAWACGTTCAAATAAGTGTTCTTAATTTTCCAAATATTGATGATAATGACACGCATATCAATCTATACGGTGTTTTGGTAAACAATTAACATTACATTTTTTTTAAATTTTAACTCCCMACCGGTACATAGCCAAAATTGATAAATGTATGATTATTTTTTATATATTATATGATACAGGCGATACAGCCCATGGGGGACGCATGGCCCCTTAGGCCCTCCMCTGGCTACATCACTGACTCAATCGGCCAATTTTCGATGAAAAACACGATTGTATTTTTATAATATTGACTGTCGAGGAAGTATAATATTGAGTGGAATGTGGATAAAATTATCTACTGAAAAATTATTGTTACAATGATTGAAATGTATAGATTTTTAATTGGAACGCATAGATGTGGGCATGAATATAAATCTGCATTCCCATGATTGAAGGTACCTGTCTATTTCCAAAGTTCACCACTTCATTAGTCTATGAACAAAATCATCCCGGCGAGATTTTTTCAGTGTTCTAATCTATATTCTATGGTTCTGTTGTATGCACATGGTTGAAATAAAATACACGAGGTTCTTCAGTTCTTGCAATATATTATGCCCCTTCTCAATCAAATATTTGATAATAAAAACAAAAATGGCAGCGTAAAAGGAGCCAATAATAATCAAATATATATGCGCGGGAATTTTGAATTTGTGKATTTCAGCCATGGTTCAAAACTCTCCTCCCTAACCTAGGTAATTAAACTAAAT